TTTTTTTGTCGTACTTAAGTTACTCTTTGTTCTTCTCCATCTCGAAATCTTCGAGACTAAAGTCGCCTTTGAGTGTTCTGGCTACCAACTTGGAAGAAAGTTTTTGTTCCAAGGTGGGGCAATTCGCGGTGGAATGTTCGGCGGTACGGTGGTACTCACAATAAGTTGTCCTATCGTAGGTGTTTTGTCCTCTGGTACACGTGTTGTAGTTTTCAAGGTCTACTTGATAGTTATGAGCTCCTTCGAAGCCTCCTTCATTTTGGACGAAACCGGAACAATTGTTGTTCTTTTTTGCAGCAGGAAGGTTAGCGGTCTGTGGTGGAACGTTTGTCTGCTTTGGGTTTTCAGGTTTTTGGGATGCTCTATCTCGTCTTTGCTTTTGGGGAAGTCTGTAGAGCGATGAAGGACGTCATGGATGGTTGCTGGTTCGTTTACGGTCATTTCCTGTCGAAACGGAGAGGGGCACAATAAGGACCTTCTCAAATCGTTCAATGCGGAGGAGTTGCCCAATCCTTCTACTTTGGAAAGTACCATTTTGAACTTTGCCATGAAAGTTCGCAGACTCTCATGCTCTCTTTGTCGTATTATCCACAGATTTTTGTTCCATGAATATGCCATAGTGTTTCACGAACATCTCAAAGAGCTGCCTAAAGTCATCGATGGAGTTTGTTTTCAGCCTGTAGAACCATTGGAGAGCAGGCCCCTTGAGGTGTTCAACGAGGTGATCCTTTGGGTTGGTATTCTCTTCGTAGGGTGGGACTTTGATTTTTCCAGGATCGGAGACTCTTGCTTTTGAGATACGTTCCGTGCCTCCTCGAGCACACGATCGATTTTGGATGCCTTGCTGGTGACCCAGTGCACCTGGGACCGTACAGTTCTTAAGTCGAAGGCAGATCATTCCATCTTTGCTCGCTGCTCGGCCATCTCGTCCTTCTGGGATTGGTGCAGTGCTCTGCGCTCCTCTTCGAGTTTGTTTTGTTTGATCCAGTAGAGGTCATCTTCCTCGTCGATGAGGTCTCGCGCGTGTTCCTTGTCCACGCCACTTTGCCGAGTCGGGGTGCAGTTCCTGCCTGCAGGTATGCTGCGATTTTCTGTGCACGTACTGTGAGGGTTGCTGCATGCATCGTCTATCTACACGATTCCTCCTGAAGCTGGCGGATATGTGCATGTCGCTCCGTCGGCCTTCTCTGGAGTTAGGTACATCGTTTGCAGTGGCAGCGGCGGTGGTAGGTCCTTCTGGTTCTCCGTGCAGTGCACGGCGTCGAGAAGCTGAAGTCGTGCAGCTTGAATCGCCCAAGTGATCATCGTGCTCTGTCCTTCTTGCGCGCCTTACTTGCTGTCGTGAGAACATTCAACTTATCCTCTTGCTCCGCTGACTTCTTGAGAAGTGTCTTCAGCATGTCCCTTAGTTCGTCCAAGTCTGCTGAATTCGTCGCGGTGACCTGCATGGCTACTTCTGGTGGCCATGTTGGCTGGCTGCAACGCCGAGGAGTCCTTGCTGTTGTTGCTGATGATGGTCATGTTGTCTGGCGACGACGCCGAAGAGTCTTGGCTATTGCTGTCGCCACTGGTCCTCTTCTTGGATCTGGTGTGCGAAGTGATTCCTTTGTGTCAGAATATCTATGTCCCCTTAGACGGCGCCAAACTGTAGGAGTTGTATATGCTTAGTTAATTTGTCAAAGGTGTTCGGAGATTAGAGAATTCTATGTCGCGAACTCACTTAGAACACAAATTGAGAATACGATTTGTTTATTGTTGTTTCTGTTAAGCTGTTATTATAAGAGAGTTTTTCTGCCAAAAAATTCTGAACCCTTTTAGGGTGAATACAATGAACTATATATAGTGTTACTAAGTAAACTAGGTCAACTAATAGAATGAGTTTGGCCCACTAAGCAATTTATTAAATTTAAGCTCATAATTTCATTAATCCTATTTTGTATATGAGTTTAATGTCATTATGGACCTAGATTTACACTGAGCCTTTGTAGGCTTGCTCTGATTTCGTTAGGATATTGTAGAGTTGACCTCGTCGTTATATTGATTGCATATGGGTGAAATCCGACCCCTACAATGGTTATATCATATTTGGTGTAGTTTGTGATCGTATTTCAGACTCAAATTCAACCAATTATATGTTTGGGTTATACGAGATAGTGTTAATATCAAATGGTGTGTAATTTGACTTTTGCGTATCTGCAAATTTGTGGTTAAACAAGGTAATCTATTTTTTTTTAATCTGCAAATTGTGTGTTTTGATGCAGATAGTGGTTCTTCTAATCCCAAATTGTGAACGAAGTCTGGGTTTGGTGGAATTCATCAAAATGAATTTGCTTCAGTTTTTAGAATCGAGATATCAATCAAAATCAAAAGCTTGTTCATTTTTTTTTAATATCCATTGATAAATTTCTTTGTTTTCTTTTGTACCATGG